GTTATGAAATTATATCAATTAAAAGTGGTTCTTCCTCTTTCAGTTTTGTCTTTTGATGCCTATAATAATTTTCCACAAGTCACCTTTTGTTATTGTATATTTCAAATCTTGTTTCACCTCTATTACCCACATATTTTCAGAGTTAGGGGCCTTACAATATGTTTATATCTTGAACAGGATTCTTGGTCCTACATCTTGGGTGGAATGCTCTGAGAATTGCACAAAAATAAATTGGAATTTATGTATTAACTTTGGAGAAGTTTACAACCACATAAATATATCCCGCCAAATCCAAACTAAATGTTTTCCCAACTGAAATTCCCCAGCAGGCCCCAAAATGCTTCTACTAACTCCAATACCACCTGATCCTCAGAGCAGTGTGATGGAGGGAAAATCCAGTAGAGATTGTGATCTTAGTCAACTGCAGTTAAAACATTTACTTTTGTGAATTTCACAAAACACACGTGCATGTGATCACATTCCCGAGTTCACATTGCAAAAGACTGTGCTAATGAGGGGCCTTGAACTTCAGCTTCATCAGCTTCACAGTAAGTGTGCTTCTCCTGTTGGGACTCACTAAATGTCTCTGAACAACGGAGTGCAGACAGCTGGGCTAAATTAGCATCTCTCTGGTCCTCACAACTCTACAACATCTTTACAGACTTCCTAATGCAGTCTCAGAATTGAGTGTTCAGAAATGCTTTTTTGAGTTCACAATATAAGGATGTACATTATCTAAGAACTGATAAACACTAGACAAGTAAATAAACAAAAACTTAGGAGTCACTGTTTTATGGCTTTAAGACAGTTTCCTTTAATGGAGGCTTGGCACCATGCGTGTTACAATTCATTTAAGCACTTTGTTCTACCACAGAATGGAAATTAGGTAGTCATTATTTCTTTCATGAATTAGTTCCTTTTCAGAAAAAAAAAATATCATGGGTCTATATTGGGCCCAACTGTTTAGTTTAGGGATCTCTAATAACATTTACATTATCTTATATGGTTGCATACTATCCATTACTGGAATGGATTCTAGCTGGATGACCATTCGCATTATTTTCATATTCATACTCTCACCACCAGCACTGCTGGACATTTCTATATGAAGGACTTTACACGTCAAGATTCTGATGCCTTCTCACTTAGCAAGAATAGTGACTATTGAAGAAATATAACTATTACAGCATTTTCCTTGAGAGCTATTTTTTAGAAAAATTCTTTTAAAAAAATACATCTTTATTGATTTTTAGGGATAGAGGAAGGGAGAGGGATAGAAAGACAGAAACATCAATGAGAGAGAAACATCATTGGTCAGCTGCCTCCTGTATACCTCCCCACCGGAGATTGAGCCCACAACCCAGACAGATGCCCTGATCAGGAATCAAACCAGTGACCTCCTGGCTCATGGGTCAATACTCAACCACTGAGCCACATTGGCCAGGCGAGAAATGATTATTCTTAGAGAAATATAATTTTTAAAATATATTTTATTGATTTTTTAGAGAGGAAGGGAGAGGGATAGAGAGTTAGAAACATCGATGAGAGAGAAACAATGATCAGCTGCCTCTTGCACACCCCCCACTGGGGATGTGCCCACAACCAAGGTACATGCCCTTGACTGAAACCAAACCTTGAACCCTTCAGTCCGCAGGCCGACGCTCTATCCACTGAGCCAAACCAGTCAGGGTGAGAAATATAATTTGGAACTGTAATTCGGTAATTACTCTTACTAGCTCACACCCACTTTTATCCCCAGAAAGACTTTGTGAATAATCCTCTCTCTGGATAGGCCTTAGGGATAGGGCCTGCTTTGGTCACAGTACAGTGGGGGAGACATCTGGTAGTCATTTAACATTTTGTGAGGAGATAAATTATTCTCTGGGCCTTCTAGCTGGAAGAAACAGATCGTTTTGTACTCTTCCTTGCCTCCCAGGCTTCCTGGTAAGTGGGCCTTCAATGGAGACTCTCTCCTAAAATAATAATAATAATAATGGAGACTCTCTCCTAAAATAATAGTAATAAAATGGAGATTCTCTCCTAGAATTGGGAACTTCACTTGTCTTATTCTAATGTATTATTCTAGCTTTTTCCTATTCTCCCAGACTTTCAGGGAAGGAGGGAAGATTTGCAAAAGAGAACACAGTCAATCTTGAGGGATAGTCTGAGATAAACCCAGCTGAGGGAAAGTGGGCGGGTTTAACTTGGGTGGGTTAAATGGAGCCAGAACAAATTAGGGGGAGTGCCTTGGGCTCGGCTGCAGTTAGTACAGTGGTTCTCAACCTTGGCTGCACATTAGAATCACCTGGGAATCTTTTTAAAATCCTGATTTTTGGGCCTCATCCTCCAGAAATTCTGTTTCTTTGTTATGGGATGGGGCCACAACATTAGTAACAAAGAAACAGAATTTCCAGAGATGAGGCCCAGAAATCAGGATTTTAAGAAGATTCCCAGGTAATTCTAATGTGCAGCCAAGGTTGAGAACCACTGAGTTAGTAGAAGCTGAAGTGCCTCTAGGAGGCAGCTGTAGGTGGCAGAGAGGCTCCACAGTCACCAGCTGGTGCTGACATGACCTGGAGCTTCCAGACGGTCAGTCTACTCATAAACAACCCTCTCCTCCTCCAGCACTCCAATGCCAGCGGTGGGATGACCCTAAGATCCATGGCTTCCCCTTCCCAAGTCAAAACTGCCTTGGACATTTCCTTTTGATTTCATCCTCTATAGTAATAAAAACATAAAATGCTAATTAGACTGGACATCCCGACCTTCTGGACAACCTTCTGGACAAAGGCGGGGCTGCAAGGGAAGCCTGGGTCCTGGGTGCCAGAGGGAAGCTGGTGCTGGCAGCCAGGGGAAGGAAGGCCTACTCTAGCAGGCCTCTAGTCTTACCTAATAATAGACAAACATGTAAATTAACTGTCCCTCTGCTACGCTCACCAGTCAATCAGGAGAGTATGCAAATTAACCCAACAAAGATGGTGGTTAATTTGCATATGTAGGGGCGAAGCGGCGGAGCCGCGAAGACTGAAGGCTCCAGCCAGAGCAAAGGCCTGGGTCCCGGGTGCCGGAGGAAAATTCTCTTTGTGCAATGGACCTCTTGTATATAATAAAAGGCTAATATGCAAATAGACCGAATGGCAGAACAACTGAACAACCGGTCTCTATGATGTGCACTGACCACCAGGGGGCACATGCGGAACATGGCGGATGTCAATCGCGGCGGGATGATGGAGCAGGTGAGCGGGGGCACCAGACCAAGACAGGGTACCGGTTGCTGTCATTAGGGCAAGCCTCTGGTGGTTACTGGAAATTCTTTGCTCCTGTGCACCACAGTCTTGCCCAGCACTCGCACCCACTGCCAGCGCCTAGTGCCAGTCCCAATTGCTCAGCGCTGTCCGCACGTGCAAGCGGCGACTGCCAGCCCTGATCGCCCCTGAGGGCTTCTCCACCTCCCCCTGCTCCTGAGGGGCGTTTGGAACAGCAGCCGCCGCTCACACCCACTGATGGCACCAGCCCCACTCACACCCGCTGCTGGCGCTGGCCCCAATTTCTCAGCACTGTCAGTGGGGCGAGTGGGGCCAGCACCATCAGCGTGTGGGAGCGGAGGTGGTGGAGTGGTGGCAGTGGGAATGGGGCTGCTGGAAGACAGGGGATGGAGACCATGGTGGGAGGGGCCAGGAGGGGGCGCAGAGGATGGGCTGAGACCTGCCCCTGTGCCCACCGCAGTCTCTTGGCCCACAGTTCCTTTCAAGGTGCACAAATTCATGCATTGGGACCCTAGTTTATTTATATATGGTTTTTAGTGAACAAGCATGCCATATCACGTCTCTGATTTTTACACCTTTTAGGGGTAGTTTGGCTTTAAAACAAACCAAAACAAAACACCTGGGTGAATGGGCTACAATGTTTTCTGTACTGGTGACTAGGGTTTTAAAAACCAAGAAAACCCATACTACTGCATTCATGAAATGTCAGAACAACAAATGCTACATGATACCATTTATATGATGAATCTGAAATAGTCAAGTTCATAAAAGCAGAGAGTTGGAATGGTGGTTGCCAAGGGGAAGCAGGAACAGGGAGTATTAGCCAACGGGTACCAAGTTTCAGTTATGCAAGTCCTAGAGCTCCACAGTACAGCACAGTGCCTGTAGTTAGCAATGCCTGTTGTCTACTTAGGATACGCTGAGAAGGCCTAGCTTATATGAAGTGTTCTTATCACAAAATATAATAACAAATAATAATAAATAAGGTGGGAGGAAACTTTTTTGAGGTGATGGACAGATTGATTTATAGCATAGATTGTGATCTCCAGACTCATCAGGTTGTATACATTAATTAGGTACGGGGTTCTTTTTTGTACTTATAAATTTTTTCATAAAAGCTAAAAAAAATCCATACTACTTTATTGTTTCAGCACTCACAAGTTTGACTCACACTTGTTTTGGTCATGGAGTGTGGGAAATTTAAAGCACGTCTGGGTTAGGAAAGTTACTCCCCGCGTACAGTAGGCCAGCCCAATAGGAGACCTAGACAGGCACCCCCACCCGCCGAGGCACTCCGGTACGGGAGTGCACCAGGTGCCCTCACAAACTTCAATTCATAAACCTTTCAAATGTCTGAAAATTCCTCGCAGTGACTGGGGGTAGAAAACATATCAGTAATAGAAAGTCAAACTTGAACGCAAAGCCTAAACTCCTTTGTGCCAGATGCCGGGAGACCTGCGTCGTCGCGGTGGCAGGTTCCTGGGTTGGTTTCAGGCTGGCGCCTCCAGCCGCGACCGCTACAGCCCCGGCCGACCTACGCGGGGACGCGGAGGGGCGGAGTCTCGGAGCCGGGGCGGGGCCTCGGTGCTACAGCGGGCGAGGGGAGGGCGGGGCCTCGGCGGGGCGGAGCCTGGGGTGAGGGCAAGGTCTCGGAGGGGCGGGGCCTGGGGTGGGGCGGGGCCATTGCGGGGCGGGGCGGGCAGCGGCCGCTGGCTCCTCCCTGGGGCGGGGGCGGGAGGAGGAGCCGCCGCGCAGCGCGAGGAGCTGCCGCGCGGGGAGTGGTGGTGCTAGCACCTCTCCCGCCCGGGATGGACGGTGCCGCGCCGGCCGCCGAGGCGGTGTAGCCCTCGCCGGGTCCCGCGGCGCCCGGCCGGGCTCCCAACTCAGGACACCGCCACTCCCGCTCATTCCCCGCAGACGGCCCGGGCCCGGCCGCCGCGCCGGGGTGATGTCCGGCGGCCGTAGGAGGGGCGGCGCCCCCTGGCACAGCTTCTCCCGGTTCTTCGCTCCCCGGAGTCCTTTCCGGGACAAGGAAGAAGAGGAGGAGGAGAGGCCAGGGACGGGCCACCCGCCTGCCCCGGGCCGGGGCGCTGCCAGGTGGGAGTCTTGGGGGCGTCGGGGGAGGGGGTCCTGCGCTGACCTGCCGGACGGGGCTCCCAGCCTGACGCCCGCCGCCAGCTGCACTTGGACCGCCACTTTCTGTTCTCCTTTCTCCGCTGCTCAAGTTTCCTCCTCCTCCTCGCCCGGTTCCCGGGCCGCACCTCTCCCGGGTTTGTTAAACGTGGATGAAGTTGGTGGCTCGCGGCCGGGTGCGCACCCCCTGGGCCGGCGCAGTCCGCGCTCTTCCCTCCGCCCCTCCCGTCCGGGTTCGGTTCCCGGTCGGCGCCCGAGCCTGCTCGCCGCGTCCGGGGCAGGGGCGCGCCCCGGTGCCCCGCCGGTCCCGGGAGCAGCCGTGAGCCGGCGAGCCTCCCCGGCGTGGAGGGGCGCGTCCGAGCGCTGGTGGGGGGAAGCCTCCGAGCGCCTCCCGCAGCTATTATTTTGCCGGCTTATTTAAATGTTCTCAAAAACGATTAAAAAAAAAAAGAATTGTGATACCGGGTCCCCAAGACTTCATCAATTTATAAACACCTCGCCTGTTTTATTTACCATTGCCGGGACGTAAATGATGCCGCCTTCTTTCGTTCTTTCCCATCTTTCTTCGGAAACATGCCCTTTACCAAACAGCCTCCAGGAACGGTACTGGAACTGCCTTGGTTTCAGTAATGAAAACGTGTTCCTTCCCTGTAATCTTTCCTCCTTCCTCCACCTGCTGTAAAATCTGTGTGCTTAGTTTTGGAGGGCTGTTGTGTTGTATTTGACGCATCTCACTGAAAGAAAAACAAAAAACAAAAAAACAAACCAAACCTTTTCCCGAGTCTTTTCCCCGTCATTGAGGAGGGAGAGGGGTTAAAGTAAATACAACTTCCCATTTTAGATCGTTGGTGCGAAGAGAGGCTGAAACGCCCTCCCCTAGCCTGCGCTAGGCGAGTGTGTAACCCATGTGATTACAAGGACGGGCCCCAGAGAGCTGTGTGCACTTCAGGTTTTAAAGACTTAGAGGGCTTCAAGGAAAAGTGGATTTCGAGAAACAGAACTCCGTGACTGAGCTGGTCCCATTAGTATTTAGTTTTGTGATTTGATTCTAGTCGGCTATGTGTTCCTCAGTTTCCCTGCTTGTGGACCATTTGCATTCTGGCCACCTGTTGATAAAATCCCACATCTTTCCAAGAAAGCTCCTACTAAATTGGTAGACTTCTTGGGGGAGGTTCCTGCTCTTATTACCCTGACTGTTAATGGAGAATTTAAAATTCAAAGTTACACAGTAGTTATAAATAGTTTGGAAGCCTGACTGGGCTCCACCAGCATGTCAGATCTGCTGGTGTGGGCAGTCTGCCTGTGGTGCCTGGCATCACTGGACAACACTGAACAGTCAGGTAATGTGGGAGAGGAGTTTAAAAGAAACCCCAGGTAGACTCCACAAACTGGGAAACTTGAGCCCTGTTAGAAAAAAATAGGTGGGCGGATTCAGGTTCATATCAGAATTGCCCTGAAACCCTGCCTGCCTTTCTCCGGGATTTGGGCTTTTAGGCACTTCTCACATCTAATCTCCTCTCTGGAGCTAACCACTCTAAGACAAACTAGTCTCTTGCCTACTTGCCACTTCCCTATTCTCATTGTCTCCAGATAGGCACAGGCTGGCTGACACTGAAAATGTTAATTGTGCTTATTTGAACACTAATTTTGTCTTCATCTTTTATAGTGTTTGCCAGATGTTATGGGGAGAGCAGATAATCCTTTGTGTGGGTGTTTTACCTTTTAAGAGAGCTTAAATCTTTCTTTTCAAGGATATAAACACAAACAAAGCCTTTATTGAAAGTTTAATGAAACAAATGGAAATGCTTAGTGGTACCAAATGTCCTAGTAACCCAACACCCTGGTGTTAACAAGATTGGAAACAGAATTGCGATTTGTCACTGTGATCTTATTTCAATCTGAAAGGGTATTTTGGCTGTCTCTTAGAGGCAGTAAAAACTTTTAGTCCTAATAGGGGCCAGGTTTACCTTATGTGCTGGTGATTTTAGAGGCAGAGGGGTCCATTTAGCAGACATGCAGTGTCTGGGAATAGCGATGCACAGCTTCCATGGTGTGCTGTAAGTTATTTGCTCTCCATGTGCTGTGAACAGATCATTTGTGTGTTGAGTTTGCTGTTGTTCTAGTCCAGTGGTCGGCAAACCGCGGCTCCCGAGCCACATGCGGCTCTTTGGCCCATTGAGTGTGGCTCCTCCACAAAATACCACGTGCGGGCGCGCACGTACAGTGCGATTGAAACTTCGTGGCCCATGCGCAGAAGTCAGTATTTTGTGGAAGAGCCGGTATTTTGTGGAAGAGCCACACTCAAGGGGCCAAAGAGCCGCATGTGGCTCGTGAGCCGCAGTTTGCCAACCACTCTAGTCTCATTAACCTTCAGCAATTAAAGAAACACGTTAGCTTGAACACTGTTGTATATACGAATTTAGGTGTGGGCATTCCAATTGCTCGTCAGCCCTCATATCTTGGGTGGTTGACCAGATCCAGAAAGTGCTTATATTTTTATTTTAGATTATACAGGAGTTGTCAAGAGTAGGCTTACAGTTGTTCATATGGAAAATAATACAATAATAAATAAATAATAACAAGAATACATACTCTGTTTTGCATATTCACACCTGTAAACTTACTTTTGCCCACGCCAGTATAGAAATGAAAACTGCAATTGAAGTTTTACATAGGAAACTTGAAAAGTCTGAGTTCTGTGGCTCCCAGTTTGAAAATCACTGCTGTAATGTTTAGCCCAGTTTATGGCACACAAGGAACATACTCATTAGAAGTAATAAGGGAGAATACGGAGGGCTTCGTAGTAGAGGTTTTAATGGGGCCTTCAAGGCATTAGTGGTGTTTCTATAGGTAGAGAATTGAGCCAGGAAGATAGAGATAAATTGGGAACAGGTCTTCTAGGCTGGGCAAGGGCTAGCAGGTGGTTACGATCTGTTAGAGGCTATGCACATTAGTGAGACAGAGTGAAAAAGGTGGTAAAAAGTTAGATTGAAACTGGATTGTAAAGGTCTAACAGAGATTCTCAATTAATAATTTAGAGAATTTTTTTGCCTGGCTGGCGTGGCTCAGTGGTTGAATGTCAACCTATGAACTGGGAGATCATGGTTTGATTCCCAGTGAGGGCACATGCCCGGGTTGTGCGCTTGATCCCCAGTGTGGGGCATGCAGGAGGCAGCCGATCAATGTTTCTCATCATTGATGTTTCTATCTCTTCTCCTCTTTTCCTTTCTGAAATCAATGAAAATATATATTTTTTAAAAAATTTGGAGAATTTTTGCAAAAGCCTGTTAAACAGATACTGCTAAAATGTGAAATTTGGAGGATAGCTGCCTACTAATTTTCCCCGCTTTTGAGAAAATGCTCCACTCTGTTTCTTTGCTATCTATAATAATAATAAAAGCATAATATGCTAATTAGACCAGACAGCTGAACGACCTTCTGGACATCCTTCCTGATGAAGCTGTGGCAGCGGGGGCAAGGCAGAGGCGGTTAGGGGTGATCAGGCAGGCAGGAGAGCAGTTAGGAGTGATCAGGCAGGCAGGTGAGCAGTTAGGGGCGATCAGGCAGGCAGGCGAGCAGTTAGGGTGATCAGGCAGGCAGGTGAGCAGTTAGGGGCGATCAGGCAGGCAGGCGAGCAGTTAGGGGCAATCAGGAAGGCAGGCAGGTGCGTGGTTAGGAGCCAGCGATCCCAGATTGCGAGAGGGTGCAGTCCGGGCTGAGGGAACCCCCCCTCCATGTACAAATTTTGTGCACCGGGCCTCTGGTATCATATATGACAGACTTGTTTATGATGAGCTCTATGCAATGTTTGCAACTCAGGAGGGAGAAAGGAAGGTGAGAACAGCATTTTTCAAGGGCTGACTGTGCACTTCTGGACTGGTACTTTTACTTAGAGCATGTCATTTAAACCTCACCCTCAGCCTGGAAGGTTGGAATGCTTACCACTATTCTGACAATTAAGGAAACTGAGGGCAGGACAGTTCTTACAGTGGACACTGTTGGTGGTTGGGTGGAGCAATTCTCTTTTTTGTTAAATTTTTTTTATTGATTTTTGGAGAGATAGAAACATCAGTGATGAGAGAGACTCATTGATCAGCTGCCTCCTGCACGCCCCCACTGGGGACCAAGCTCTCAACCCAGACATGTGCCCTGACCAGGAATCGAACTGTGACCTCCTGGTTCATGGGTCACCACTCAACCATTGAGGAACACTAGCCAGCCTGGAACAATTATTTTTTGAACTGGACTCTTCTGTCCTTGGCAAAACATTTGGCATCTGTGACCCCACCCACTAATTGCCAGCAGCATCCTCCAATCATTGGAATAATCCTGAACACCACCCAGGTGGGTGGAAGAGAGTGATTTACCCCAAATTATGAGAGGAATAAGGTCCAGGGAGGGGTGAGATTGGAACTTGGGTTTTTCTAACTGACTCCAAAGCTCTGATATTTTTTCTCACACCAGGCTTCTGAGCTCCTTCAAAATACATTAATATTTAAGTCCATTGGACCTTTATTTCTTTTGCTCAAGGATGGGTGACAGTATGTACCATTTTAGATATATTCTTTTGGGCTGTTCCTTTGAGTGTCCCAATATAGTGTTATTGATAGAAGGTAAGACAGCATCACTAGACTCAAAGATGGGCTGTGTCATATTTATCCTGGTGTCTCCTTTGCCTAGGTCAGGTGAAGAGTGAATCTCTGTTTGTTGGTGGAGCAGTAAAGCACTTATGAGTGGTTTTCAGCTAGGGGTAGTACACACCCCATCTTTAAGCATTTAGAAACATGGAGGATCTTAAATGTCTCCAGACAGTGTTTGCCTCTCAGTTTAAAGTTCAGAGAATTTTTGCTTGTCACCATTGGTGAGGGTGTTAAATGGGTAAAGCCAGGATGCTAAATGGCTGGTTATGTAGGAGATATTCTTATAAAAATGGTCACTAGTGCCCCTGATGCATGAGATCTGTT